CCTCAACTCGGCATTTTTTAGTACATGACTGACAAAGTAGACCGGTAGCTGACAGTCGTCTCTTTCAGCAAGAAGAACAGCGCTTAACGCATGATCAGAGACGGCCAGGTACATGTAGAGTACTTCTTTGGGTAAAGGGCTGACCAGCCTCGGCAAGGAATGCAGGTGAACTTTCAATTTCTGGAAGGTCGCCTCAGCATCCGGCCCCCATTCAAACCTTGCCTTCTTCTTAATGGCTTGGAAGAAATATAAGCATTTGTCGCCTGATCGGCTTAGAAATCTTCCCAAGGCCGCCAGATAACCTGTTAACTTCTGAACCTCTCGGACGGTACGAGGCGACTGCATGTCGATGACCGCCTACACCTTCTCAGGGTTCGCCTCTATTCCTCTCTGATTGATAAGAAATCCGAGCAATTTCCCAGACTCAACTCCAAATACACATTTCTTGGGATTGAGCATGACATGGTGCCGCCTGAGTGTGGCGAAAGTTTCTCGGAGGTCCGACAGATGATCTATCTGAAGCTTAGACTTGACAATCATATCATCAATGTATGCCTCGACGTTTCTCCCAATCTGATCAAAGAACATAGTGTTTATCATTCGCTGGAAGGTGGCCGGGGCATTCTTAAGACCGAACGGCATGATCGTGTAACAGTATAACCCTTGATCAGTGACGAAGGCCGTCTTCTCCTGATCTTTCTTCCATAAAGGAATTTGATGGAAACCAGAGTAGGCGTCCATAAAGCTCATCAAAGCATGGTCGGCTGTTGAGTCGACCAGGTTATCAATTTTAGGCAGAGGGTAACTGTCTTTGGGGCATGCCTTGTTTAAGTCTGTGTAGTCTACACACATTCGCCAGGTGCCATTCGGCTTTATAACAAGCACCACATTTGCAACCCAGTCTGGGAAGTAACATTGCCGAATGAACCCTGCATCAAGTAATTTTTTAACTTCGGCGGCTGCCGCCTGACTTCTTTCTTCGCCATGGTTCCGTTTCTTCTGCCTTACCGGCTTCTTTTTCGGATCCACAGCCAATTTATGTACCGCCAGGTCAGGACTAATGCCTGGCATTTCGTGGACTTCGAATGCAAAGATGTCCTTGTATTCTTTTAATAGTTTGTGAAAATCGTCACCCAGGACTCTCAGAGCAGTCGTCCCAACTTTGACTGTTCGCTCAAGACGTGAGTCGTCTAAGATTAAGTCCATATGCTCACCAGTCGGCTGAGGGCGGAATTCATCCGACCGCTCCTCTGCCAATGATTGCTATTTTTTGTCTTTTCTTGCGGCCCCCGTCTGGGCTGCCTTTCTCTTCTTGCCGCCTGCTTCTTGAACAGGCGCACTCTCCTTGACATTGTCAAGGTCTGTTTTTCCACCACTTGACCCAGCGGCCATGACAATGGGCTTGATATCCGAGAGATAGCACTCTCGGGCCATCCTCTGATCTCCCCTTAGGGACCCGACTGTTCCATTATCCCTCTCAAACTTGAGCAACATAAGAGATGGGATTATAACAGCCTTAGAATTATTCATGGTTGGTCGTCCCAGAATCATGTTGTAGGCCGAGAGTTCTTCTACTACCAGGAACCGGACTACCATGTGTCGTCCTTCCCCTTTTTCACCCAGGCGAATGGGTAAATCCACTCGTCCCACTGGATGGACGACTCCTCCTCCAAACCCTACTAAAGGGTGGGATGCCGGATGCATGCAATCAGTCTGATATTTTAGTTTTGACAGACATTTGCTACTGATAAGATCTGAAGAGCTTCCAGTATCTATAAGGATTCGGCCAACTCTCTGGTTGGCCACTTTACATTCAATAACGATAGGGTCGTCATGCGGCCCCCTTACCCCTCCTAGATCTTCTTCAGTGATGACAATCTCAGGAAATGAATATTTGGGGGGTCGTTGTTGTGAACGGAATTTACATCTAGCCGCCTAATATTGTCTTTGTTGCCCCTAATAGTGGGACCGCCTCCTGCGAAGCCGCCTGCAATGGTGTAGACGACTGCATCATCTGCATCAGAGTTGTCGGCCTGTTGACTCTTTTTGGCCGACTGCTTTTTCGAGGAAGTGTTCCCAGTAGATTTCTTGACATAAGAGTCAAGATCGCCTTGCTCAGCCAGGCGGTCCAGATACCGCATGAGACTGATGCATTCGTTGGTGTGATGACCAACATCTTCATGATAATCACAGAATTTTTCTTGGTTTTGGTTGCTTGCAGAACCCTTCATGGGGACCGCCTTCTCAATTGAGATCCGTCCCTTGATTTCCTTTAGGATAGCTTGGCTATCCTTGTTAAACGCATACTTTGGGGAGTATGGTTTGAATTCTTTTTTCTTCTTCTGGGCCGGCTGTTTAGAGGAATCAGCCGCCCAAACCTCTTTTCTTTTCTTTTCATCTTTGTTCGACAACTGTTTCTGTCGCCCTTATTTTTTGTCGAACCTTTTCCCGTCCGACTGTTTTGTACTACAAAGATCAGTCGCCTGTATATAGGCTTCCGCTTCAATCAAGGCCTCTTGAAGAGTCGACACCCTCTTTCGGACCAAATCAAATTTGAATGTCGATCCGTCTTTGAGGCCTCTGAAAAAGTCAGTATAGGCTACCTCATCCGGTAACCCTTGAATCTGTATTCTCATCAGGTTAAGTCGCCTGATGTAAGAACGAAGCCCCTCCTTCTCGCCCTGCTGAATCGTTCCTAAATCAAGGGTCGTCTTTTTCGCAGGTATGTTCATGGCAAAGTTGGAGGTGAATAAGTAAGCAAGCGTCCTGAAGTTATTCACACAACCAGTCGGCAGGTTGCCGAACCATTGTTGTACGATTCCTTTGAGAGTCGCTGGGAAACACTTGCACCAAGTGGGATCATCCAACCCTTGAAGGTACATCAGGTTGGTGAATGCCATCAAATGGTCTTCTGGATTAGTAGTGCCGTCATAAGCGCCTACTAATACATTTTTCACTTTGGCCGGCTGAGCGGCTTCAGCAATTTCCTTGGAGAAGGCCGACGGCTGTTCCCCAAGTCTAAGCAACCGTAGCTGCCAGTCCATAGGTTGGACATTCTTTGCTGCATGCCCACCAAACAGAGGTGGCTGCAAAAAATATTGTTGTCGCGGTACAAATGGTAAGTTTGGTACCGCCTGGTCACTATGAAAGCCGGGCTAACGGGAGGTGCCGCCTGACGGACTCTCATGATACGACTGAGTATACTTCATCGAGGTATTGCGTAGACTATCTTGGAAGTCTGAAGTAGAGGCTGACTCTGACAATCGGTCATTCTTCTTCTGTTCTAGCAATAACCGAGCATCTGTGTATGTTTTCTTCGACCCGTCCGCCTGAATATGACGAACAGGTTTCCTCTTTCCTTGAGTAGGAAAGCGGTACTTTGTGAAATCAAGGGCAGGCGGCTCCCACTTCCTAGAGTTAGGATGAGGGGTCGCCTCTCGCCCTTGAACTGGCTTCCTCTTCCCTGAAGTGGAAGGTTTCTTAGCCGAATGCTCCTTGGCCAGAGCAGGCTTCTTGTTGAGCAACTCTTGAATCTCTCCCTTGAAGCCCCTCATGAAGGTCATGAGTTCGTTTCTGGTAATGGGAGCAGACCCATCAGCCGGCTGCTGCTGAACAGGCGGTGCGCCGGCTGGATCACTGAGTCCAGTTTGAAGATGTTCCCGTTCCCTCCTTTCGGTATGACGGGTGCGTCGGGCCCTTAGGGTCCCGTCTGAAGCTGTGTGAGCTTCAACTTCAAATTCTTCCTCAGTATCATGGTCCGACTAAACTTGAGGATCGTCTAGGGGACGCCTCTCTTCAGGAGTCGGTACAGACGTGGATGCCATCTCAGAAGTACTCTCCCCACAGACGGCGCCAAAATGTTTCGGGGTTTTTTGATGTCCTGCGGGAGTGTTACAATTCCGAGACTGGAACCGGACGCCTGTACCTGCAAAACAAACGGATGCTCCGGATGATTGAAGATCCGCCTCCGACGGTCAAGTTAGTACTTGATTAAGGAGTAATTAATGCGGAAATAAAGGTGATTGGGTCTCTCTAGGTGAGAGTGTTTAATGTGAGTAATCCTCCTTAATGAGGATTAAGGGAGGTATTTATAACCTTGGGAAACGTGTCAATCCTAGGTTTAGGTTAACCTAGGGCTGATTGGGCTTCCCTTGGAAGTTAGGCCTAGGTGGCCGGTTTCTGCATTAGGCATGGAGGATGCCACGTGTCATGACATAATAGGTCCAGGGTGGACGAATAGGCGTGTGCCACGTGGCAAACCCTGACAGTTCCAACTGGGGGACACTTGGCAGGACCTGATTGGCCCACGTGGCGCATTCCGATTGGTGGGAGCAAAATCCCCTAATCACATTGGATACAATAATAAGAAATAAACTAGAGTAAATACAAATCTATACTTTCACTAACTTAGTGATCATTATTAGATATCCAATCACATGCCCGATTTGCCTTATGGTATATGTGTTGAATGCTCTAACTATGACATTTGTTGAGAAGAAAACTCACATTCGTAACAATATGATCAATGGCTGCACATATAACCTTTAATTGAGTTGATAACTATGAGATTGTTACCTTCAATGTGTATGCTATTTAAGCCTTAATCACTCGTAAGAAGGTTGCCTTTAACACTTTAGAGCTAATGTTGAACTATGAAAGATTTAGTGTCATCAAGGTTAAAAGTCCGTATATCTTAAAGTGTTACCATTGCCGCGAATGACGAACTACGAGGACAAGATTGTACTTATTTTAGGATGATAGAATCATGAAGCTAAGCTCATATATACTCATCCTAGTCATCTCTTACTATCGCAAAAGAACAAGTCATAAAAAAACAAATAAATCGTCAAACTTGAGCTTAAAGAATTCCAATAGACGATTCTATGGGCCCAGTCTTTGACCCTACATTACCCCACATTAAAAAAAAAAAAAAAACCCAACTTTCAGAATTTTCTAGAAAAAAAACCAAACACCACTAGGGTTTTAGCTTTTAGCATCTATATATACTGAAACCAACCCGAATCAATTCTCTCTCATCGCACCCAAAAAAATCTCGTAATTCTAGGGTTAGGGTTTTCTTCTTCTCTTCAACAATGGCGCTTGAAGATCGATCTCGAGGTGTTGTACGATGGTTCAGCGATAGCAAGGGTTATGGCTTCATTACTCCTGAGGATGAAGGTGAAGAGCTTTTCGTTCATCATTCTTCGATCAAATCTGAAGGTTATCGTACTTTAACTGAAGGTGCAACCGTCGAATTCACCTTCGCTGTTGGCTCTGATAACAAGCCGAAAGCCGTCGATGTTACTGGACCTGACGGTGCTTCCATCGTTCCTCCTTCCTCCGGTGGTCGCCGATCAAACGGCGGCGGCGGCGGTGGTGGAGGTGGTGGTTTTAATGGCGGTTGGCAGAGAAACAGCAATTCTGATGGTGGAAGGTGTTACAATTGTGGTGGACCTGGTCATCTTGCTCGTGATTGTCAACAGAATTACGGTGGTGGATACGGTGGTGGTGGTGGTGGGAATTGCTACAATTGTGGACGACCCGGGCATTTCGCCCGAGAATGCCGAGGCGGAAGTGGCAGTGGAGGAGGTGGTGGTGGTGATGGGGCGTGTTTTAATTGTGGCGGGTTCGGACACATGGCTCGGGATTGTCGTCAGGAGAGTGCCAGGTCTGTCGGGAGATCGGGCGGCGGCGGTGGTGGTAATTGCTATAGTTGTGGGAAACCAGGGCATATTGCTAGGGAATGCACTAACGCGGATTAGAGAAACGTACAGTGTTATCTCTTCTCTTGATTTAGTCTCTAGTTTCGTATAAAAAATACTTATATCTACTATCATAATTTTTTGTTATGTTATGCTATGCTAGTATTGTTTTCCCCCTGTTTTTCGGTTGGTTATACATAGGATAACTTTGAGTGGGAAAATGTTGATATCCTAGTTACTAGAGTTTTCGATGACATTAATGTTTTGCGGGTTGTTTGCGGATGGTATACATAATCTTTTGGTTATTTCATTGTGTTATTATTATGGTTGGTTTACATTAATCATGATACAAATTTTTTGATGTGTTATGGTTTTGATTTTTTTCAATTGCATTTTTTAACATTGTATTATGGAATTTGGTATGCAATTGGCATTGTATTATCTTTGGACTAAGGAGTCGGATTCGTGTTTTGATGTAACATTTGCTGAAAGTTTCTGTAGAATTGAATCAGTATCTCAAGTTGATATCGCCATGACCATGGAATTGATGAATTTGTTAAATGTTAGATTAGATTGGGATTTTCAGGGATAGGACAATGGTAATTGGGCTCTGTACAATCTTTTAAAGCCCTTGATAAAAAGTTTTAGATATAATACTTATTCTGTGAAATTGGATAGTAATGAGGCTAAATATTTTGAAGATCTTTAATTGAGATTTAGGAAGCTGGGAAGGTGTAGAATCCGGGATATAATCGATCTGCTGATATGGAGGAACTCAAGGAGTTCATGCCTGGTTAATTAAATTATGTAGTCTTGCTAACCAACAAAAATGATTTGTGCTAAGATAGCCTAGCAAGGTAGCAAGTGATATTAATAGATTGTGGATTGTTCCTAAGATGAATTCAATGAGAATCAAACTGGAGAACCATAAATAGTTTATTCTTAAGAATCTTAACCAAATGATGCAAGCAGTGATCCAGGAAATTCTGCTTTCTATGTAGAGCAAACAGTAATGTCTTGTTCTGCATGCTGTCTGATTAAGTCTAAATTATGTCTAGTTTTGCGGACCTATTTCCTTGGCTTTGGCTGATTTAGTCATTGATCTGTTTTGTTCTATCTTCACTGATCTGTTTGTGAATGCTTATTTTTTATCTAGTTTGGTATTAGTTATTTCATTTTTCCAAGCACTTGATGCCACATAGCTTGCTGATCATCTTATTAGTTTTGTTAAGAATTGACTGTTTAGTCTTGCTCACTTTTATGTTAGTGATGAAACTTTAGTCCGTCATTGCTGGAAATAGAAAGGATAAAATTGTCTGTTGGCATGCCGTAAAGGCCTATGCGGTCTACTACTCATTTAGTGTTTCTGCTTCTCAATCTATGTATCTGTAGTCTGGCAGCATCTTAGGAGAGCTAATTAGGTGGTGCTTATGTTTAATATTTTTGTAGATTAGCAGCTTTGCTAATGAAGGAAATATATTGTTGGGAGCTTCGTTCCTTTCTACAGTCTCTTTGATTTGTTCAAGTTCTTGTAGCCTGTGCGGCAAAGTAGCCATGTTTTATTTCAGGTTTTGTGTTCCATCTTATTGGTTTCAGGCTTTCAGCCGTAAGTTGACTATGTTTGCACCCTTGCTCCAAGGCATTCAAAGCTCTCTTTTTTTATCTTAGGTTCCCTTTCCAGATTTTTCTATCTGATGCCAAATACAATAAGATTTTGGAGGTTTATCCAGCAGTTTATTTTGATTTCTTTCTGGTTGGTGGTTCATTTTTCCGTTTTCATTTTGTATGATTTCTGATTTCCGGAGTGTAGGAACAGAGCATCCTGCTTGTGTAGTGATTAGTGACCTGCATTCTGTTGGTTAATGTTTCTGTAATTGAGAATCTTTACTGTAAGCAAGGATATTTTTGAGCTTATTTGTTCATAATAAAGCTATCACAAAGTCTATCCACAAACGAGCAAATAAACAATTTTGGTTCATATGGTACAAACGGGAAGTTCATTATTCATGCTGTCTGTTGCAGTGATCTCTCTGAGTATCTCTATGCGAAGCAGCCATAAATGTTTCATGTTTGATAAAACTTAAGTGCTTACTCCGTATATGTTTGATGTACTTCTGCTGATACAAAAGCTTGACTGAATTTCTTTTGTCTGTCATTAGTCATGTAGAATTGTAAAGGGCTCGATCAACCCCCTAAGTTGCATGTCAATCATAATTACATTTTTTTTAATTTTTATTTATTACGAAGTATTTATTATAGTAGAGAATTCATATTATGACAATTTTTTATGTTAGTTTCATGCTACCCTTTCACAGGAGGGTTTATTGATCTGTTTGATTTTAAATTAATTGTTTACAAGATTTAATTCACTTATCATCTCAACAATGGTATTAATTAGGGTTGAGTACGGATCGGATATATCCGAAAATTGCTATACTTGATATCTGTATTCGATCCGAAAATTTCTGATCGGATACCTTGGATAACCAATATTCGATTCTTTTAATAAATTTTTTTTAAAAGAAATTTTAATAATATTGTTTTGTTTAAATTCTATTTTAATGGCAAATTTTATTTTTTAACGGTAAATAGATATATACGAAGTATTGAACTTGAGCAAAAGCAAATTAATTCTGTAACAATTCTTTAAAAAAAAATAATAATTAATTCATTGCTAACTACTTGAACATGAAGAAGATCAAATAGACTAAATTTTACACAAACCAATTGCAAAACAAAGAATTTTTACACAAACTTTCAAACTAATTGTTACAATATTACAAAGAAATTTTAATTGTCATTGAGAAGCAGAGTAGACAAGCCGTTGCTGGTGCGCCGGCTGAGAGTAGGAGAGGCTGGGATTTGAGATCTGAAAGGGAATGCGATGATGGTGTTGCGGGTTGGAAGTTCGAGGGAGCCGATGATGGTTGCAGTTGTTGCTATGTTGTTGTTGCAAGGATTTGAAATTTAAAGTCGTTGCGGTTGTTGATCGAAGAAGGGAAGGCCGTCAGCTGGTGGTGCTAGTGGAGGAGACAGAATAGAGGATGAAAGAGAAGATAGAGAGAAGAGAGAGAGGGGTTGTACTTGCAGTGTTGCCCTTTGAGATCTGAGGGGAAAGAGGAGAGAGAAGAGAAAAATGGGGGGAAGAGAAAAAAAAAAAGAGGGGGGGGGGTATATTTTGAGGGGATTTTAGGGTTAGCTGCTTTGGGTATTTGGGAGTATATGAAAGAAATAAAAAAAAATATATAATAAAATAAAGTCTCTTCACCTAATTCAATATTTTGATATTCGATTTTCTTTTGATTTGAAATTGATTTTGGATAGGATATCCATAATTTTCGAATTGAATACGGATCAGATTTTCTGATTTTCTGATAGTTTTGCTCAGCTCTAGTATTAATCTTTTAACTCTTTTTATAAAAAAAAAAAAATAAAGCTAAATAAAATTCTATATTACCTCCGTTTTTTAGTTGACATGTTTCTTTTATCATGCACTAGCTAATATGCTCAATAAGATTTATATTGAGATGATTCAAACAAGAGAGCACTCTAAACTTGCATTTGCTCTTTACCATGGAGTTAATGCTATTTCTCAATCACACATGACGTATTATTATTATTCTTTTTTTTCCCCTTTATGTTTGTTTTAATAGGTAAGAAAGAGATACGAGTTAAAACATTACGATTACATTGTTTTCTTTGAATCATACGGAGGTAAAAACTTGTTAGCCAAATCTAGACTCTAAAATACTAAGGAGATGTTTGGTTCGCAAGGGGTAATCGAAATGAAATGAACAAAGGGAATGAAAGAGAAAGGAATGAAAATCCCTCAAAATTAGTATGTTGTTTGTTTTGAAAATCAAACCACCACATCACCACCACACCACCACCACCACCACCACTACACAAACCCCTCTTTCTTCACTATCCCACTTCTCCAGCCACCCCGCCCCTCGCCGCACCTGCCCCACCCTTCGCCGCCCCTCGCCGCACCTGCCCTACACCTCGCCGCCCCTGCCCCACCCCTCGCCGCACTTCCTCTCCTCCCAAACAACTTTCCCTTCCCCCGAAAACCTTCCCCCACCCTCGAAAAAACCCTAGAACCCTTCCCCAACCACCCAGCCACCCTCGAAACCCTTCCCAACCACCCTCGAAGCCGCACTTCCTCTCCTCCCAAAAATCGATTTGCTTTCCGGTGAGGGGTGGGGGAGTTGAGGGGATGGCCGACGAAGGGTAGGGGAGGTGCGGCGAAGGGTACGCGGTGGTGCGGTTTCCGGTGATGTGGGTAGGTTGGAGGGTGGTGGTATGGTGGTGTGGTGGTGGCCAAGGAATGGAATGGAAATACCTTGGGGGGAGGGGTGAGGAATGAAGTTAGAGAGATTTGGGGGAATGAATGGGATAAAGGGGATTGGAAAAGTGGCCTAACAAACAACGACAAAGGGAATGATTCCTGTCGATTCCTATTCCCTTTGTTGTATACCCCTAACCAAACGACCCCTAAGAAAAATAGCAAGAAAGAAATAAAACTTGTCTTCAAAAGTATCAGTAAGGAACAAGATAATCTGCACGAGGAGAAGCGCAAACCCTTTTACCAAGTATCACTTGACGAATTGAAATTCATAACATCATTAATAAACTAGTGTTAAGGATTTAAACTTGTTTAGTGACTTAGGGTGCGTTCTATTCACCTGTTTTTTACTCATCTAAACTTATCAGATCTTATCTTAACTTGTATGAACTTATCTGATCTTATCAGCTCTTATTAGAACTTATTTTAGTTATAAATTGAACTTGGGTAGCCCTAATTAACCCATAACACAACTTTTCTGAACTTATCTTATCTAAACCTTCTGAACTTGTTAACCCTTATATGAACTTATAAATAAATGGAAATAAGGTGAACAGAACAGGGCCTTAGTTAATGGATTGTCTTACCTCACTTCTGTTAAGTAACTTTGCAAAAGATGTAATACACGCTCTATATGTTGTTACTTTTACAAATTCTATGCAATTTGTTGAAACATTTGAATTTCTTACCCAAAATATGAGCGACTTTATCATTGTTCACATCTAAAATTCCTTTTTCACTACTACATTTTTGATCTAATGCAACGGTACAAAAATAGCTAATACAACGGCTTATTTCATACCGTTGTATTAGACTAGGCTAATCCGTTGTATTACACTAAACAGGGCTAATACAACGGTTTATACTAACCGTTGTATTAGATATACTAATCCGTTGCATTAGATGAGCTAATCCAACGGATTATTCTTCTAACACAACGGATAGTGTTCCCGAATTTTTTTTTTTTATTTTTCAGTTGGAGCTAATCCAACGGATCAGTGGAGCTAATCCAACGGAACAGCCCCAAAAAATAAAAAAAGAAAAAAGAATAAGACCTAATACAACGGATGAGTAAAAAAAAAACAAAAAAAAACCGGGAAATGCTGAAATATTAGAGCCAAAAATGAAATTGAAACCCCTTTCCCAAACTTCTCCTTCCTTCGTTCTCCTCCCTAGCTCGCTGCTGCTCCTTCCTTCGTTCTCCTCCCTAGCTCGCCGCTGCTCGCTGCCGCCGCTGCTTCGTTCTCCTCCCTCGCCGCCGCTGGTTCGTGCTCAAATCTCTATTTAAGGTATACCTTGAATTTTCGTCTACCAATTATGGATTTGTTGATTTTGTTTTGCAATTAGTTTTAGTTTGAACCTTGCATGTGGCTGATTGCTCGAATCTTTGGATTTGTTGATTTGTTCGAATGTTGCATGTGGCTGATTGCTTGCTTGAGGGTGGTTGTTGGGGTGGTTTTTCGATTTATGAACCCTAATTTTTTTTGGGGGGTTTATTTGGGAATACTTGACATACCTGTTGAAGTTAGCTGCTCGAATCTTAACCTTTTCTCAGTTCTTTCTGGTGGCTTTTGCAGTTTGCTTCTTGTAAAACCTGTACAATTAATATGAGGTTACAGTATCTAAATTTCTTCTGTAGTATACTAGACAACTTATTTTGTGCCGTTAGTTTTGATATTACTTTGGCTCAGACATTGCTCATAATTATGTTGCAACCTTTGTTCTTTTTTATGTAAATCTGTTTGGGTGGGCGTATTTGGACAATTTGCTATAAACAGAACCCAACAGGCAATTAGCTTATGTAGCTTTATGCAATCCGAACTCTTTTTTTGCTCCTTGATATATCATTCGGCTCTATGTTCTGTTTTCTAAATCTTACTGTGGTCTGTGCTTTGGATTTCCTCTGTTACCGAGCTGCTGTCCTTGCTTTTCTAGGTTCCATGTTCTTGATTATGTTCCCTTTTTCCAGAAATGAGTTAGATGAATTGATCTTAGGTGCACTGACGAACTACAACGTTCTCTATCTTAAAATTGGAATCTTGAAGCTATTTCTTGTTAGGTACTTTCTACCAGGTTAGTTTGGCCTGTTCAATTTCCATGGACAGATGGACTGAATATCTGAATGTACTCTTTTGCATGAATAAATCAAAATATAGTGTTTATGACCGAATCACTACTTTCTTTTTCTGTTTTGATAGACACTACTTCATATTAATTTTGAAGTGGATTTTCTCATCAAATTTGTTGTTTTTGACTAATTAGTAGCGTGAAATATGATCTGGGTTTGCTTCAATTTTAATATTTTCAAGTGCTTTAAATGAATAAATGGTATTAAAACACTTAGCGAAAGGCTCACAGAGCTTCTCCATCATTAATGCCCTTTGATTTTGCCTTAGGAGTCACTACAGCTCGAAAGCTGGCAGTATTACACTAAACTTTTGAACTCCAGCAAAAATTCTTACAGTCTTACTGTTATCACTGCCAATCAATTATTCAGCTAAAACTACTATTAGAAAGGGATGGGAGGCCCAAAATTAAAGGGAACAAGAGTAAATTTTTAAAATATTGAGCCAAAAAAAAAATCAATGTTTTGGTAAATGGAGAGAAGCAGAACACAGCATAAACAACGAGAATGCCGATAAAATCATTTACAAGGAAAGGAAGGTGGGCGTAAAACTGTAAGAAGATTGGTGAGAAGGTCGTGTTATAAGGGAGAAAGATGAATCGGTTGTTTATAGAGGTGAATGGGTGGGGAGGCAGTACGTGGGGCTGGATGGGAAAGGGTGGGGGTAACATAGAGGTGAAGGAACACTTTAAAACCGTTTCTAATGGTTTGTACATCAAAGAGTAGACCCTGAGTGAGTAACAAGAGTCTAGGAACTACAGTAGGCACCTAATGCCTATAGGAAAAAAAAGATATTAACATTATTAGGTATGATGAATTAAACAGATTTCAGCAAAGACAGCAAAAGATCCAATTAGGTTTAGAAGATGAACAAGACATTAATCACAAGAATAGTGGTCTTCATATTAACAAATGACCCGATGACATTTCATTCAAAAAATTTCAGCAAAGTTGAGCAATAAGGTAAAGTGGTAACATACTTTTATATTTATTAACCTCATCAGCTGGATCATATGATGCAAACTATGGACTACAAATACCAAAAAAGATAAGAATTTCCAAATAATACCTCCTCCACTTCCTTCTCTGTAGCAAGCTTGTTCAATGACCCCACAAACAACTTGTACTCAACTGTGCCTAACAAATAAAACAACAAACTGAGCTTTAAACAAATCAAGCAATAATGCAAAATGGTGCCTATTTAACCAGTTCATGTCATCCCTCCTAAATTTTAAATCTCCCTCCACCAAATTCCATAATCTCCAAAACCAGCAATAGAAAAGATACATAATTTTTTTAACAAGAAAAGAATGCAAAAGATCAATGGAGACAGATGCACCCCCACTGGCCCAAAGACATTTGAAAACACAAAAGGGAATCAATAACTTCAAGAGAAGCTCTACCAAATAGTTCTTTTACATGGCAGAAAACGTGTCCCTACTCTTTTTAGAGTAGCCATTTTCAACTACTAAAGAATTCATCATGCTATTCATTAATAAAAAGTAATAATTGTTATGGTACAAATTTACACTACTTTTGCCTATGCAATAGGTACTAACCCCATATGCAGCCATTACAGAAATATGTACAAAATACTAATAAAGTACACGCATTTAAAATTACCTAGCAATAACATTTTCTATTTTGCATTCTCAGTTGAAGAATCTTTCTTATCTGATTCTGCCATCTTTGTTAAAGCACTGGTTGAGATATATATAAACTTGTTAAGCTGGATAAACTTACGAATGCAGTGTTTATTACCACAGAAACATCAAGTGAATTGTCCTCGAAAAGGAAAAAACATCGAGGTCGAACAATGCTCCACAGGGTTCACGCACGTTCAAGAGAGGAGCGTCTTGTGATTGTTCTGAACTCATTAGGTCAGCCAGTTGGACCTACTAAGGAGATTGTGCAAGAGTTCAAGTTTTTTCTGGGAACGGTGGCAAGGGATTCCGAACTTGCACCGCTTAACTACAGAACTTTTCCTAGCCTACCGACACTTGATAAGATATTGGATTATGTCTAGGTAATATACAATGATACTGTTGCATTACACGTACACCTCCACACGTTACTAATGTTTTAGCTTGAATAGGAGAAGTATATGGTCCCCCATGCCGGGTTAAATTGGGTGATGGATGCTGTAAATAGTTGTTGGAAATATTATAAATGCCAAATCAAGAAGAAACACTTCTATGCATATGATACGGATGATTTAAGGTGGGAACATAAACCAGATACAATCTCCGATCAGATGTTCCTAGATCTTCTACAATATTGGCATACCGATGAGGCGAAGGTAATGTATATTGATTCTAATCTAATTCTCTCGAATAATTTTATCTAATATGTGTTTAATTTTGAATTAAATGGTGGTTTCCGATTTTCCCTAGGCAATTAGCCAAAGCAACAAAAGCAATCGTCTAATGTTAGATGATATGCACACTTTGGGACGCAAATCATATGCTATTTTACGCCATGAGTTGGTAAGTACATTTTTTAAAATATAAATTATAGGCATGTTGCATATATTTTTATTCTAATTTCATATATTATGATTTACATATATATAGAAACAACAAGATCCCGACAAGAAAGAACCTTCTCAAGCAAAGGTTTACAAGGAATCAAGAAAAAAAAGTGCTGAAAGGACATACATTAGCAGCTTTGAAAAAGCAAAAGAGAATATTGTAAGTTATTCGATAATTAGTAACATTGTACGCCTAAATATTGTTAGTTATTCGATAATTAGTAACATATTACTATGTTTGCCTAAACAGGACAAAATTGATGCTTTGGAGTCAGCACAATCACAAGAAGATGGTAATGTATGCAATGACCCTTACAGTGAAGTGATTCCACCTTCTAAACGCAAAAGTTGTTTGCATCTATATGGCTCGGGTGTGAAGAAGAGTGATTTGAAGAACAAAGATACAAAGTCAAATTACATACTCCCGGAGGAATTCCTGGTAGGCATAAAAACACAATTAGTCCAAGAAATTGCACCTACCATCACCGCTGCAGTTTTGGATTCGATTCGCGAGGTGAACCCCGGGATTAATCTTGTGGTTCCTAGTACTCTGCAGCAATTGACTCCGCATGATGCATCTAGTGCACCAAATCAAAATACTGCCCAAAGTGGACAATCTTCAAAATCATTTAATCAGGTATAATCTGCACTTCTCTGCTCTAAACTTTGATTTCTAAACTTCCCCTGACTGCTTGCTTGACTGCTTGACTGACTGACTGACTGACTGACTGACTGACTGACTGATTGCCTGCCTGACTGACTGACTGCCTGCCTGACTAACTAACTGACTAACTGACTTGCCTGCCTGATTGACTGCTTGCCTGCCTGACTGAAAGCTTGCCTGCCTGCTTGACTGCTTGCCTGCTTGCTTGTCTACCTGCCTGACTGACTGCTTGCCTGCCTGACTGAAAGCTTGCCTGCCTGCCTGACTGCTTGCCTGCTTGCTTGCCTACCTGCCTGCCTTCCTACTATAGAAGGGGCTGGCGTAGTTATGCTGAGTTTGCCCATATAGAGCCTCACAACTTGCATCATCCCACTCCTTATCTCCCTCTAGCATTCCCCGAGCATAACAATCAGGTGTGCGATAATTAATGTTGTATGCTGATCACATTATGCTGGATCTTGTCTCCCATGTGAGACTGTCAGAGACTGGCTAGCCGACCCCTGCTGCAGCAACTCTCACTCCTCCCTGCTCTGACTCTAATTCAATTGAAACAGAAAATCAAGGCTCACTCAAGGAATTAATTGCTAATAATTGACTGAACAGTGTAATTAATGTTTCTAGGGAGAATGTTGGTATTTATTGATAACTAATTTCAGATTACAAACGCATGACTTAAGGCCATGAATCTCTTAGTAGCTTTAAGCCACAACTCTCTCAATGTGTTTACAATTTTCTCAATGACCCTCCAACATGAGTGGTTTCCTATTAATACAAGGAGTTGCTTCTAAAGCTTACAAAACATCATAGCTAAATTACAACTAATTAACCAACAGCTTTACTAGGGAAGAGCTCAATATCCAATGGTCCTTTCTGTGCAAAGGTATCCTTGAGCAAAAGTGTTTCTGACTTCTTCTTCTTTCTCCAAAAGTGACGGCTTAACAAGGCTGCCTAAGCCTTGTGTGTAATTGTTGTGTTCCTTCTTGTGCCCTCCTGTTGTCCCCCACCTCGGTCTCTTCACTCATACACTCGAAAGGCCTTGCCGGTATTAGAGTCTATAGCAGAGACATCTAAAATGCCTTAACTTCTATTTTTATCTCTTTGATGTATTAAATCCTGGAAGTGGGTTTCCATTTTGATAACCTGGATTCCTGAGGAATCTCATAAAATCTTTATCTTTGGATGATAGTCAGTCTCTCCCCTTTTATTTATCTTCCAATATTCAAGATGACTTCTTTCTGTCAGAAAGTAATCAATCTCTCTAAGTAATTCTTAGCTTGGGATGAAGCTTTGTTTTATCCCAAGGGGGCCGAGGCCCTTGTAAAAATACTATACTGCATACAAGTATTGCTTAAATCTTTACAGCATTCTACATTAATATGTTCCTGGTATTTAACAACTTCGAGCTGTTTAAACATAGCATTAGCTCAAACTGTTGATATAGCCTTCTGATGTCTTTTGTTTGTTTGATTTCACTTACCATTGGATGTGGAAAACTGTTAAAATTATGATATATTGCCAAGGATGTCTGATTTTTGTTCTCTTATTGTATATTTTGTACTTTGATGACTGATTTGTGTGTTGTTGTGCGTTATTTAATTTCCCCAATTGGTGTTGTTATTGTTGTTGGTATTGTGGCTTATGCATTACTTTTTTTACTTAGGTGGTTGATGACGATGAGCTACCCCGGGATGAATGAAGTAAGGACTAATGTTGATTTTATGTATCTATTGCAACTTCTAGAGAGCTTTCAAATTAAACGTTTGTTAATTAATTAGCTAGTGAACTTTCATTTATAATTAGTTAGTATTGACACTTCGTTTACTTTTGTAATGCAACGAATATATATTATATGTACTTCGTTTATTTTGTAATGCAACGAAGATATATTATATGTACTTTGTTTATTTAAATTATAAATATACTAATATAATTTATATTTATTATTATAGATTTAAAAAAAAAAAAAAATTTACCTAATACAACGGTTTTAAAAAACAAAAAGAAAAAAAAGGGGGCTAATACAACGGTATTAAAAAAGGGGGGGGGGGCTAATACAACGGATGTAAAAAAAATAAAAATAATAAAGGACCTAATCCAACGGATTGGGCGAAAAATCCGTTGGATTAGGTAGATACCTAATACAACGGATTCATCAATCCGTTGGATTAGGTCCAATTATTCCCAAAAAAACAAAAGGGAACCTAATCCAACGGATTGAAGAAACCGTTGGATTAAATCTATTTTTCCGTTGTATTAGACCTAATCCAACCCTTGCAAATGTAACGGTTGGTAACCGTTGTATTAGGTCTAATACAACGGTTTTTGACACCTAATACAACAAAAAAAGCCGTTGTATTAGCTCTTAAATGTAGTAGTTTTTTTTTTTATTTTTTTTTTTTAAACTATTCAAAATTCAACATACCTAGTATAATAAAACTAACTCAATTCTTTCAGATGATACAGGAGAATAAAGCATTACATGTATAGGTTAAATTAATAAAGTATGTAAAGATGATTACATATAATTTAGTCATGAAATTTGTTGCTTGAGTTGCCTCCTGACAAGATAAGATTAGAGATCCTTACGAATTTAGGAACATCTTTCTCCGTAATGACGATGATGATTTTGAAAAATCGGCTAAGGTTTTCATGAGTACTGAATAAGATTGGTTTCGAAAATAACACTTCTTTAATACCTTCTTGAAGTGTCAAAGCTCCTACTAGCAATTACAATATTTCTAAATTGAAACTACTTAATTTAGAGTTTGCAAATTTAAAGTTTTAAGGTGATATTCAATGACAAGACCCAAATTTAATTTCCCATTTGAATGAAAAGAACCAATAGATTTTAATTTGAAATGGAAGGAAAAGTCTTTATCTTTAGACAGTAAAAATTTAATCCTCACAATTATTGAGAGATTGTTATACACCCGATTATTCGGATACACAGTGCACCCAATAATATTTAAGTAATATTTCTCATTCAGTTAATTATTATTCATTTAATCATTAAAAAAAAACGAAAATTAACATTTGGTTAGTTGGATGCACCATGCACTCGGTGCAATTACAAAATTTCGAGTGCATATCAGCGCATAGCATCTATTGACAAACGAAGCGTATAGGAGGGTAGAAGCGTAATTTACCAAGCATTAGAAAACTTGAATATTCCACTTAACTGTGCTAGTGGTACATTTAATACTCTGAAAATGTATCACTGAAATCACATTGGTACATTTAATCAAAGTAGAACGTACGTTTTGTACTTTGAATTGTACCACTAGAAAACCAGTGTCATCCTATACACTTTCTAAGCACATAGGTGCTATGCGCTAATACTCATTCCAAAATTTCAACCTTTACCCGAGGAAGCATTTCCCGGCAAACACAATATTTGCCACATAAAAAAAAAAAAAAAAAAAAAAAAATCATCTTTCCAGTAAAAAAAAGTACTCCGTAACTTCTCCTATGAATAAAAGCATTTTCAATGCACTTTTCATCCATTTCCAGTTCATAGAATTCTCTCTACAAATCTAATAATTAGGGTTATCGATCTACTTTCTTCTATTCAAATCCAATACTATTCAGGTATTCATTTTATTTTTAATTTTTGTTTTAATTTCGGTTGTTCGTGTTCTCAAAATTCAAATCTTAGCTATATTCTTCAATTTAATCAACGAATTCCCTTTTTTTTTTTTTTTTTGAGAATTTGTTCGTTGCTTACAATTGGCGAAGAAATTACGATTCTGACGAACTTGATTAATAATCGTAATTATCAATTTATGGATATGATTAGCTTTTACAATTTGAAACTTTGACTTGTAATAATTTGTTTTGGCAATGCTTGGTTTATTTATGAAATGTATTGCTTTAGTTTCATCACTAAATAATTAACTGGAAAAGAAAAACCATGCAATATGTGTTGATTTTTGATTACTATGTAAATGTCATGTTTATCTTTAAGTTGTATAACAACAATTTTGGTTTGTTGTTGGAGTTTAGGGTTTGATGCTTTGTTAAGCTGGTGAATTTGTGATTCAAAGCTATGGCTTGGTTCCGAGCTGGATCTTCTGTAGCAAAGCTTGCTGTTAGGAGGACAGTAGCTCAGGGGCGTTCTTACGTGTCTAGAGCGCGATCCACTGAATTGCAAAGCCGCTATTTTGTTAATTCACAGCCCCGTTTTTTCCATAGCACGGTTTCAAAACCAAATGCAGCTCCTGTTCCACGTGCTGTGCCCCTTTCGCGGCTTACTGATAGTTTCCTTGATGGGACTAGTAGTATTTACCTAGAGGAGTTACAAAGAGCTTGGGAAGCTGATCCTAGCAGTGTTGATGAGTCTTGGGACAATTTCTTTAGGAACTTTGTTGGCCAAGCAGCTTCGTCACCAGGGATTTCGGGGCAGACTATTCAGGAAAGTATGCGTTTACTATTGCTTGTGAGGGCTTACCAAGTTAATGGTCACTTTAAGGCCAAGTTGGACCCGTTGGATCTGGAGCAAAGACTGATTCCTGATGATTTGAATCTGGATGTTCATGGATTCAGTGAAGCTGACCTAGATCGTGAATTCTTCCTTGGAGTATGGAGGATGGCCGGGTTTTTGTCTGAGAATCGTCCTGTTCAGACTCTTAGAAATATCCTTAACCGTCTTGAGCAGGCATATTGTGGAAGCATTGGTTATGAGTATATGCATATAGCTGATCGTGAGAAGTGTAACTGGTTAAGAGACAGAATTGAGACCCCTACACCAATGGAATATAACAAGGAGAGGCGTCAAGTGATGCTGGATAGGCTTATATGGAGTACTCAGTTTGAGAGTTTTCTAGCAACTAAATGGACTACAGCTAAAAGGTTCGGTCTTGAAGGTTGTGAAACTCTCATTCCTGGTATGAAGGAGATGTTTGATAGATCAGCGGATCTTGGGGTTGAGAATATTGTCATTGGAATGTCTCACAGGGGTAGGTTAAATGTGTTGGGTAATGTTGTAAGAAAACCACTTCGACAGATATTTAGTGAGTTTAGTGGCGGCATAAAACCTACAGATGAGGTTGGTCTTTACACAGGAACGGGAGATGTCAAGTACCATTTAGGAACTTCTTATGATAGGCCTACTAGGGGTGGTAAGCGGATCCATCTCTCATTGGTTGCCAATCCAAGTCACTTAGAAGCCGTGGATCCAGTTGTGGTTGGGAAAACAAGGGCTAAACAATATTATTCTAATGATGTTGACAGGACCAAGAATATGGCTGTTTTAATCCATGGTGATGGCAGTTTTGCTGGACAAGGTGTAGTCTATGAGACACTCCATCTTAGTGCTCTTCCAAATTATACCACTGGTGGTACTATCCACATTGTGGTAAACAATCAAGTTGCTTTTACAACTGATCCAAGGGCAGGAAGATCATCACAATACTGTACTGATGTCGCTAAAGCTCTGAATGCTCCCATTTTTCATGTAAATGGGGATGACTTGGAGGCCGTGGTTCATGTTTGTGAGCTTGCTGCAGAGTGGCGTCAAACCTTCCATTCAGATGTTGTGGTCGACATAGTTTGCTATCGTAGATTTGGTCACAATGAGATTGATGAGCCATCTTTCACGCAACCAAAAATGTATAAGGTAAGTCTGTTAAAAAAACTTGTTCTTTTTCCGGGTTGTATGTTTCTTGGTGTTAACTACATTAGCTAGTCTTACAATGTGCATGTTCATCTACTGCATTTTTTGTATGAAACTGCTGTACTTGAGACTACCAGGGATAGACGATCAAATGCCTGACTGTTGAATTGGAAGAGGGTTAGTGGAAGAAGCAAAAGAATCACAGAACGCTGTCCTCTAACCTTAGGTTTATTTTTTAACAGGTCATCCGAAGTCACCCTTCTGCTCTTGAAATGTACAAGAAGAAAGTTCTGGACGCTGGGGAAATGTCAAAGGAAGTTATTGATCAGATTCAAAAAAAGGTTATAACAATCCTTAATGAGGAGTTTGACGCCAGCAAGGATCATGTGGCTAAAAAGAGGGAGTGGCTTTCAGCTTATTGGCTAGGTTTCAAGTCACCCGAGCAGCTTTCCAGAATCCGTAACACTGGGTACTTGTTCTTTTTGGATTTTCTAAAAATAAATTATTAGGTGTCTACGTGGCACTTGTTTGTGAATTACTGTTTGAATTGTCATTTTATATCATGGTTTTTTTTTTCAGGGTTCAACCAGAGATCTTGAAGAATGTTGGCAAGGCAATCACCACACTTCCTGAAACATTTAAGCCACACAAAGCTGTGAAAAGGATTTATGAGCAACGTGCTCAGATGATTGAAACTGGGGAGGGCATTGATTGGGCAGTTGGAGAAGCACTAGCCTTTGCTACTCTGCTAGTTGAAGGAAATCATGTCCGATTGAGCGGTCAAGATGTTGAGAGGGGTACATTCAGCCATAGGCATTCTGTACTCCATGATCAAGAAACTGGAGAAAAATACTGCCCATTGGACCATGTCAATATCAACCAAAATGACGAAATGTTTACTGTTAGTAACAGGTGAGCTCTTTATAAGTCTGGCTTTGCACCCAATACTTGATGCAAACAATTCTATTTTGGATTGAACTCATGACATCTTTCTTTTTGTTTTTGAGGACTCAAATATTTAACTTACCCTCTGTCAAACTTAATTTAGTTTGCCTTTGAAGTCTAAAGGGTACGTTTTAGGATGGATTCTTAAGGATTAAACCATGGCATCTTACAGTTCCGGGTTCTGGGAAATTAAATCATCAGTAAACATATTTGAAAGTTTTTCAGAAAATAATTTAGTTCCATGAGAGATAAGATCTAATGGTTTGCAAATTCATGCAAAACAGGGGTATGATGAGGAATTTTAAATTTTCATTAATCTGTCTTTTCTACGCAGAGTCCTAGT